CCTACCCCTCACAAGGCAGTCCCTTCACCTACCCCTCACAAGGCGGTCCCTTCACCTACCCCTCACAAGGCGGTCCCTTCACCTACCCCTCACAAGGCGGTCCCTTCACCTACCCCTCACAAGGCGGTCCCTTCACCTACCGCTCACAAGGCGGTCCCTTCACCTACCGCTCACAAGGCGGTCCCTTCACCTACCGCTCACCCTATGTTGAATGTAAACATCCCAGATTCTACATAACGTATTGCTACGCAGACCTATTACATCAGCGTACACTGCATGTGTTTGTGCTAAAACAATCCTCCGTATTATTGAGGGTAAAATATTCCATACCCTCCGTATTATGAGAGGACAGTCATAATAATACACAGAACTTCTACTGAGAGAAAAATGTAACTTCAACAGGACGTATCCAAGTTTGTAAACTTAATCCAAGATTTGCAACAGCGAACGTAAAATCTTTAAAGCACAGGATACAACTTGTAGAGCGGCACATCGAGTGCCTGCGGAATGGCGACACCGTCCGTCGTATTGCACTTTTGTTTTACAGTCTGTATTCACAGTTTAGTCCACCGCCTCTACAGCACGTGCGTCAGCAGGAAGAAGTCGCAGTGATCGGACTGCGTTTCAGTTGGTGTACAGGAGACCTGAGCGGAACGGGGGTCAAGACCGAAGTGGGAAAAGTGAAACAAGACCCCTCGAAGTGCTGGCCAATGTTCATGTCCTCGGCGAAGAAGGAAACAGTGTCCCTTTTGCAAGACATGACGGGGCCGCTGGGTTTGGAAGAGAAGATTTCGGACTCGTAGTGAAGGAGCTGGCCCATGAAGCTGAAGTTGGGTGATATAAGGCTGCGGCGTTGCTTGATGTACTCAAAGGCCTCCTCCAGGGGGATCCGCTTGGTCTTCATGAGGTAGGCCATGCATATGGTGGGCGACCTGGAGATGCCAGCCTCGCAGTGGACCAGGACTCTGCCTCCTGAGAGTCTTACAGTATCTGCAGACAGATCAAAAAATACACACATCAGTACAACTGCATGAACACAACACAGGTGACTTGTCTTATGCATGTATGTGTCAAGATAACCAGGTACATAAATGGCACTCTTCTGTTGTAAAGCGCTATTTAAAAATTAAACAAAGCCCCCAGCTATTTTATACGTGGAACATTTCTTACTACTATTTTAACACCTTGTGACTTATAATTTTACACATATTTTAATATAATCTCAATACACACGTTTTAAAAACATTTTTCCTCTTCACTAGTTAAGATTTTACATTTTCATAAGTATAACATTTATTTATATATATA